ACATTTCTTCGCTTTTTTGCGAACTTTGGAAAATTTTGGAAAAATCTTAAGTGGTAACTTGCTTCAAAAATTTCGGAACTCGGAATGAAAAAACGCCAAAGTTCAATAACATAATTTTATTTCCCTAACACTTCGATTTAGAATGGTTTTTTGAAAATATTTCTGAAAATTTAGATAAAATTAATTGAAAATATTTTAGCGAGATGTTCGAACATTTATTCAAACTTTGTAAAGACAACATTAATATAGACAAAAAATTTTATGTTTTTTGGCACCTATTTCTTTATGTTCGGATGCTTATTAGAAATTTTGTTCAATTTCATAATGCAAACAAACATTATAATGAAGAATTGGATGAACGAGCAAAGAAAACAAATCTCTAGTACCTACATATACATATTTTTTAAAAATTATTTTTTAAATCATGGGCATGCCCTCTTCGCATGCCCTCTTTGCCGAACGTTCATCTTCCTCATTTAAAAACAAAATTTCAGAATTTAAACAAAAATTTAAGAAAATTGGCCCAAAATCTAAAAATTTCAGAAAATTTATAGGAATTCCTTCCATTTAGAAATTCCATCCTTTCCTTTCTAATAAGGAGGCTTCTTAAATTTATTTTATAAAATTTAGCGAGGAAGTTTCGATTCGAAGTTATATGGAACATTATGATATTTTTGAAATAAAGGCAAATGAATTTCAGCATATATTTAATCAAATGTATCCACACAAACGATTAAATCTTCAATTTGCTGAATCAACCTATGGCATAATCATTTATAATGAAATCTCTCCTGATATGTCCATCGAAGTTCATCCTACAATGGAAGATCTTTGGCCATTAATTTACACCAATCTAAAAGGTCAATAGAATTTTTGTTTAAGTTGGATCTTACTTTTATATCAAACCTTAAATTGGATCTAAATCTTTAAATGGCTGCCTGAGTAAAATAATAGGATAGTAAAGCAGCTGGGCTATGCTATTTCTCTCCTTTAGCAAGTGCAAAAGGTTATTCGGCGGCTGGGAGCGAACCAGCATCTTCAGTAGACCGGACTGATGTGTTAGCCATTACACCACGCCGCCTACTGCACAGCCTTAGGAAATTAATAGCTATATGCTTTACACCTCCATCCCCAGGGAAGACTGTCCCTAGTCTTCTTATCTGCCCTCTTCCCGCTTTTTCTCTCACCTGCGGGGTAGCTTAATCATCGCCTTCTCTGGCGGAATTTCCTTTCTCTAACCCAGGGCCTATGGGATGGATCGTCATTCGTTCAGCGTTCGCTGAACCATCCGGTGCTACCAGTAAAGCAGCTGGGCTATAGCTATTTCTCTCCTTTAGCAAGTGCAAAAGGTTATTCGGCGGCTGGGAGCGAACCAGCATCTTCAGTAGACCGGACTGATGTGTTAGCCATTACACCACGTCTACTGCTCAGCCTTAGGAAATTAATAGCTATATGCTTTACAGGATAATAGTAGCTAACAGTAAAGCCCTGCTGGGCTTTTGTTATTTCTCCTTCAGATAACGCATGGAATCTATATTAGAAATTAAGGTTGTCTGATAGCTGAAAATCTTCGGATATCCGGATCCGATATCCGAACCAAAAATTTCCGTATATCCAATCTTTTTTCGGATATAAGGATCCAACAACCTTAGTATGAGAAATATCAGGTAGAAATAGTAGAAATAGATCGTTATCCCGTTTATAATTAAACTCCTCAGCTACTGCAACTGGTTATTCGGGGCTGGGGCTGATTCATGACAACACGTCCCCTACTTCATAGCCTTAGTGATTAAATAGCTAAATATATACTTTAAATTGTTCTGATAAAGAGTTTTGTTTAATTACTTAAGGTGATATTGCTCATTGGACTGGACAAGATTGTTACAATTTATCTGCAAGTACGCTTGATCCAAACACCCACCAGCCAACATATCCATTTTATTCATTTTTCTATTATGTGGATGATTTGTCTAAAGATATGTTGGATCATTTAATTTTGAATGAATTGGCTGGACAAGTTATACTGAGCAAACAATATCTCGATGAAGAGATTATTGAATTACTTCCTGTTCAGAAACATGGTCAAATGCCTGATCAAGTTCCTCCTCATTTTCATGGAGAACTTACTGAAAATGTAATATTTAATTTTTTAAATCTAATGGTTTATGGCACTTTATAGGTTTATAAAAGATGCCATTCTCGATTTGAAGAGATAGTACAAGCACATCAACCAAGACATGGACGTAGAGGACGAAGGACAGGAAGAAATCGTGGACACAATGGAGGAGGACGTGACTGAAAAGAGTCGCAAAGAATTTTTTCGGATTTTTTCCTTATTTTCTACAAAATATTGAGTATAAAATAAGCTAGTAAAATTAAAAATTTAAATCTCATAGTTGAGTTTACGGTTCCGTTATCCGGAACCGAAGAAACCCTGGATATCCGGAAATTTTCGGTTCGGATCCTATAATTAGGGAAAAAGGAATAAATCCTACTCAATGGCCGTTAAAAAATCCTGGCTTAGGGATCTTCAAAAATGGGTAGCTCGCAATCCACATGTCCGCAAAAGGCATTCTGCAGAATCGGTTAAAACAGAAAAACAAATACGAAATAGAGCCGACGAAGGCGAGATCTCGATCAAAAATCACAGTTGCCGAGATTATTTGGGATAACAAGGAAGGTACCTAATACTGACTTATTTTAACGCGATATTTTGTTTTGGTTGTTAACAAACTTTTTCTGTCCTTTATAGTTTTCAGGCTTTTATTTTTTAAACTACAAGAAACGAGGATTGAATAACAACTATATATTTGATTATTTATTAGTTTATAAAATTTTAGTTTAGTTTTTTTAAATTCATTGAACAAAAACAAATTTTGATATTTAAAGATTTTGATTTTGGATAAAGATTTGGGTATTTATTTTTTAACATTATTTAAATTGTGCTAGTAAACGATGATATTTAGACAAAAAATCTCTTGATAGATGAATAATTATATCTATACGAAAACGATAAAGTAGTGTTAATTTAACATTTTTAAAAATTAATCAAAAGTTAATTTATCTGTCCTTTATGAATTTTATTAATACAATAATTACTTTAACAAATATAATTTTAATTATATTATTTTATTGTTTAATAAAAGTCTATTAAATGTTTATTTATTTAGAATCAGTCGATTTAAACTCTATTGACGTCAATTCTTGCCCATCACCCCCCCCTATCAGAGCTAATCGAAATTTCGAATTTTTATTTCGGCCAGCACTGTTCCCTATCCCTAATTGATTGAGATAGAGGATATCAAATTAAATTAATGAAAAAACCTAACCTAATTACCGTAAAAGTTAATCAGATGAGCGTCCTAGTTTTAGAAATCTAGCTTGCCGATAGCAGGGAAAATCAGTTTTTTATATAATAATATATAAAACATCTCAAATATTATCACATACATTTTGTAACGTACGACGTACTTCTTAAACCAGGGCTCTCATTTGTACTTTATTTGAGAGTACAGTACTCTAAAATCGACCTCCGTACTCTCGAAATTGAATTTGTACTTTATTCAAAGTATGTACTCTAAAATCAACATTCTGGATTGAAAATGAAATTAGGGAAGGATTGGGCAAAAAAGTGAATTTTTTTGGCCTACGGCCTTAGAAATTCTCAAAATTTTCGCCTGCGGCGCTGAAAAAGGAAGAAATCTAGCTTCTTGGGTCTAAATTTCAAAAAATTTTCACCTGCGGCGCAAGAAATTGAAGAAATTTAGCTTAAGAACCTCAAAATTCTCAAAATTTTCGCCTGCGGCGCTGAAAAAGGAAGAAATTTGGCTTCTTGGGTGCCAAATTTAAAAAATTTTCGTCTGCGGCGCTAAAAATGGAAAAAATCTGTCTTAAGAACCCCGAAATTTCCCAAAATTTTCGCCTGCGGCGTTGAAAATGGACGTAAGAAAGTAGCTTGCTTGAGGTTAAGACTGTCAGGGCTTTACTTCTTGTGACAGCGAATTTTGACATGTCGTGTATGAAATGCACAAAATGCTCAGTGGAAACAAGAGATTATTAAAAAAATTCATTTAGGAGAGAAATATAAAAGATTTGAGGACAAATAAATATTTTCTAATTTAATTTTGAGTGTCCTTTAAATTTGGAAATTTTGTCCCTATGTACTCTAAAATCGAGATTTTTGTACTCTTGATTGGTATTTTGTCGATGAGAGCCCTGTCTTAAACCCTCCCTACAAAACACTCCTTTTTTCAAAATGTGGCCGTCAAATTCCAATTTTCTTCCACTTCTTTGCCTCAAAAATTTATCAGATTTATGCCAAAAAGAGTTTTTTTAAATTAATTTTATTTAAATTTTTATTTAAAATTTAACCGACAAACGGGATTGCCGGATGAAAGTGCAAAAGAAACAAATCGAAATTTCGAATATCCCTGATCAAGTTTATCCACTCCCTATCCCTAATTAATTGACTAATAAAAAAAGGCGGCTTAAATTAAAATAAAAAGCCAGCATAATTCACGTGAAAAATTATAATATGCCCTCGCCCAATGTTTTACTTTGAAATTTACTTAGGAGCTTCTCCCTTTTTGCTTTCTCTTTATTAACCTTTTATTTTTAGCTTTTCCTTAATTATTTTTAAATATTTTTTTCTTAAATTTTTATTTTAAATTAATTTTTAATTTAATTTTAGTTATTAAATAAACTTTAAAAAATATTTAAAAATATTTTTTTAAATAAAAATTGAAAATGAATATTTCTATATTTATTTTCTTTTTTATTTGTTCTAATTTTCTTCATCATATTTACGGGGCGGGAAATAAAGGTAATAAATTATTTTTAAGTTTTTTCTAAATTTCTAGCTTACGATTGTCTATGTAATTTAACTAAAATTTTACTACCAGGTTTTTCCATTAGTTTCGTTACGAAAATAATTTTTTGTCTTTGAATTAAACGTTTAATAATGAGAACAATAAAAATATTAAAATTAAGGAAAAGGTAAAATGCCCGAATATGAAAGTCCTCCTAAAGAGACAGACGAACCTCAAGAGACGTCCAAACCTCAAGAACCGCCCAGTTCTGATGACGAAGCTGAAGACGATCCTGTAGACACTTTTAATTTTTCCCTGACAGAATTATCTGTTTTGATTCGAGTTTTAAAAACTGTTTCTATGGAAGATTTGAAAGATTTGAACGATTTATCCAGTTTTATGAAAATTAAAACTGAAAATGTTCTGAGGGGGATTTATGGAAGATTTAATAATGAATTTGGGGAAAAATCTTTCAACAATCTTGAAGGGGTAATTTTTATTTAAAATAATTTATATTAAAATATCTTTATGAAAAAATTTTTAAACGGGCGGAACTTTATATGTAAATTAGGTCTGTAGGTAAAATATAGGTAATAATTTTTAAATGACCGAGTCGTCTTGAGGATTTAAATCTCTCAAGTCGGCTTTTCTCTAAAGTCGTCTTGAGCATGTAAACAGGTGACATGCCTCGAGTGGCGAGGAACCAGGGTCTAACTTTGCTCGTAAATTGGACTACCTACTTCTACTAGGGAAAAAATTCCCCGGCCCCCCCTCCCTCCCCGTAAAAATGAAAAAAAACTTTCCCCGTCCCTTCACCCTCCCTCCCTCCCCCCCCTCCCCCCGTCGGGGAACAAACCTACTTACTACCAATGAATATAAAAATCCTAGCACTACCGTTTCACATATGAGTGAATAAATAACCTTTGTAGCAGGGGTGGAGCTCGTCTTGTATCTCGTGTCTCGTATCTCGTGAAATCTCGTGTTTTTTAGAGGTCTCGTATCTCGTGTCTTGTATCTCGTGTTTTGTGACACGAGCTCCACCCATGCTTTGTAGTTAATTAAATTTAAAAGTTTTGGTAAATTTCTGATTTTTTAAATTTTTATTTAAAAAAAAGATTATCATCTACCATTCGCAAAATTATGAAACCGAAGTTGAAAAGCCACAAGAAAACGTGTATTTCATTTTTCAAAAATTATCACAACTCCGTTTAGAAGCTACGATAGAAAAATATGCAGAATTTTTAAATAATATGGGGATTTTGCCCATGCCTGATGATACAACTTTTGATGAGTTAAAAAATGATATTGACCGATTGAAATACTTTGCATATAATGATGATCAAGGAATTTACTATAGGATGCTACATTTGAATAGGTAGAATTCAATTATTGTTATTTTAACTTTGAATCTACATTATTGTTAACTCAGAACTATGTCTAAATCGTTGTCCAATGATTCAGTAGTTGTCAAGTAGATTAAGTAGAAATTAGAGATCGTCACGGGACGAGATTTTACAGAATCCCGTCCCGGAATCCAGGGTCTTTCGCGGTAAACGGGATTACCGGGATTCCTGGATTAATCCCGCGGGATCCCGTCCCGGTTCAATTTTGAAACGTAATCCCGTTCCGGGATCCCGGGAATGCGATATTATTTTTTAAAATTTAAATAAAATTTATTTAAATATTTTAGAGAAGAATTGGAAAAATTATACAAAAATTGTAAAGACAATATTAATATAGGAAAAAAAGTTTATAATTTTTGGCATCTATTTCTTTTTGTTCGAATGCTTATTAGAAATTTTGTTGAATTTCATAATAGTGACAATCATTATAATGTTGAACTAGACAAACGAGCGAATGATACTGGAGAATTGTATATTTTTTATAAAAATTATTTTATTAGATATAGCAACCTCTCTTGGAAGCTGGGCCGGGTAGGAGGTTCTGTAAGGATGATTCATTCACGTAGCAGCATTTAAACGCATAGGGGGGGGGGGGGGTTAAACGATCTAAAAAGGAAAAAGAGAAAGCATTAGTCGATGCCCCGCTAGCTCAGTAATAGATCTCCTATATGCGGTGAGCGAAAGCGCCTAGCAATACCTGCAAGAAGGTCGCAGGTCCTGCCCGGTGGCTAAACTTTTTCAAACTCTTTCTGATCTTTAGGGATTCCTTCCACCCTAGAAAGACCATTTGAAAGTCGGCGTACTTGTTTATCCAAATTTATTCTCTTTAAATTTAGCCAGGAGGTTTCGATTCGAAGTTATATGGAAAATTATGATATTTTTGAAGTAAAGGCAAATAAATTTCGTCAAATATTTAACCAAATGTTTCCAAATAAAGAATTAATGTCTTTAAAATCAGCGGAATCAACAGATGACATAATCATTAATTGTCCATTCTTGCCTGATACGTCGATCGAAGTTCATCCTACAATGCATGACTTTTGGCTTATAATTTACACAAATTTCACGGGTAATAAACAAAATAAAGTTAAATACTTTTAGAATGCTTATCGGGTATAGCCGGATTTTACTTTTAATTACTTTTAGATAGAGCTGGATCCTGACCCTTTGGGGTTGAAGATTACCTAGTTTGTCGTAGTCGATAATGTCGGGGTCGACGTTCTAGCCAAAAAGTGTTCGGGGGTCGTTGTTCGGATTAGAGTGGTCGAGCCAACTTCACTCGATTTGGGATTAAATTCCTTTAAATGGTCGGCTGTTCATATCAGTAGGGGATATACATAAGTACACTATTTCTGATAAAAAGTTATTTTTAATTATTTAAGCTAATATTAATTACTGGACTATACAAGTATGTTACAATATATAAGTAAGAACGGAGGGAGGGGGGGGGGGGCAGGGGGGGGGGTGGTGTGGCTATAATGTTCTGCCTCCAAGTCCATCCGGGTATATTGCTTCAATATTAATATTTTATATGTTGATAAAATTATTTAATCATTTAAGCTGAACTTGGTAACTGGAGCGGACAAGAATGTCTTAATATATACGCAAACACGCTTGATCCAAACACTAAACAGCCACTTCCATTTTATTTATTTTTCTACCAGTTGGATGAGTTATCTAAAAATATGTTAGATCATCTAATTTTGAATAAATTGGCCGGACAAATTATAATGACTAAAAAATATATTAAGGAAGATACTGTTGAATTAATTCATGATGATCCGGCAATTCCTCCTCATCTGCATGGAAACCTTACTATAGAAGTAAAATATTTTTTTTAATTTACATTGTTGTAAACTAGGGATTGGATCAGAAAAATGTCAAGTTAAAGTATAAAATGATTATTTTGTAGGTACATGGGAGAGAATTTTTTTCAAAGTACACTTTTGGAAAATACTCATAAAAACTTATTTCCCCTCAAATCTCTTTTAAAACAGGAAAATCCAAATAGAATCCATGATATTTATTTCATCTTTATAGGTTTACAAAAGATGCCATTCTCGATTTGAAGAGATAGTAGAAGCACGTCAACCAAAACATGGACGAGGAGGACGTAGAGCACGAAGGACAGGAAGGAATCGTGGACGCAATGGAGGAGGACGTGAATGAAAAGAGTCGAGAAGAATTTTACCGACTTTCCTTTATTCTCTACAAAATATTGAGTGTTAAAATAAGTCAGTAAAGTTAAAAACGCAACAACACTTTATAAAGTTGCTAATTGAAATCGAGAATTCAAATAGGCAAACAAAGTTGAAAAGTTTTTCTATTAAAAAGCTTGTAGTAAAGTTAGCCTGTATCGTGATTACGATAAGGATCGCGAGGAATATCCCTAGGTTTTTAATCACGATCCCGACTATCCTGATGATACTGACACCGACGTAGAGGAAGAAGGACGGGAGGAAATGATCCAGATACCGGTCAACTCTAGTCAACTTTGGGCCAAAAATCGTATATTATAATATGTGGGTCTTAAACAGCGAAAAACCTTCTGACTTATTTTAACCCAATATTTTGTTTTGGTTGTTAAAAAACTTTTCTTTCCCTTCTAGATTTCAGGCTTATATTTTTTAAACTACAAGAAACGAGGATTGAAGATTGGATAGATTATTTATTATTTTTTAAATTTAAGTTTAGTATTTTTAAAATTTCAGGCAGTTGATTGTTCAAAGATTTTTATTTAGTGGATAAAGATTTGGGTAGTTTTGGGTAGTTTATTATTTTTTTTTAGATTTGGGTAGTTATTTTTAAACAATTTTATTCAATTTGTGATAGTAAACATTAAAATTAAAAAAATTTTTTTATAGTTAATATTAATCCAAATTAATTTCCCATAGGTCAGAAATAGTAAATCCTGGCTTTAATTGTTCTATAGTTACACCCAATTCTTCTGAATAAACAATTGCTCGAGGTTCAGAACCTTTTATTGGTCCATCAGAAAAATAGGCCTAAAAACTTTTTAAAACCAAAAATTCAAAAAAATCTACCGCAAACGCGTCTACTCGAAGAGGCTTTTCCAAAGGTTCTTTTTCTTCCGTTTCTTGAGGGATAGATGGCGGTTCAGTAAAAACATCCCCCACCATTCCTCCAACATCTTGGCGTGAATATTGGACACCAAAAACGGGTGAGGATTGAAAGGCATTGAGTAAAGCTTGGATAGTTTTGCATGTATGTTCTAAACGTTCTTCAGGCTTCACTTGAAACCCTAGAATATATTCTCCACTCTAAATAAATAATAAATGAAATTTTCTTTAAAGTATCGTAAATAACGTATATGCTCTATTAATTACCCCACCCCCAAATAATTACCCCACTCTATTAGTTACCCACTCGAGCGAAGGGTTGAAACAATAATTACTGCCTTAAAATTAGTTATAATTCGCCTTCCAAAAATAACCTCTATTAATTAACACACCTATAGCAATTAACCTTTCCGGAGGGAGGGCGAAACAATAATTACTCAGAGTAATTAATACGGTATTTATTGTCTTTTGAAGCCTTTTTAGAGTATTTTAAGGGAGGTTCTTTTTCTGAAGCTAAATTTTTGATGATAAAATTTATTTGAATATTCAAATAACGTGTCGATAGACCAGCACGTAGAACTCCCAAAATTTTTTTAAAGTCGTATAGAGGTTTATCAACCTTCAGGGTTGCTGTTCTAGAAAGTTAGAATATTCGGAACCGAACCGAAGATTCCTTCGTTTCTGAGCCGGAATAAAAATCATTATTCAAAAGTTACTTGTAAAGAAGTATCAAGGACCAATGCATGGCCAAATCGAGAGTCTCTAATACGACAACTTTTTAGTTGTAAATATGGAATTGATACATTATACTGAATTTTTAGATATATATATTTTTAACTGTTTAAGACCTGTGTGTTTAAAGCTGCATGCCAAACAACTCTAATATTTGTAATTATCATCATACCCAGATTGCCCTTAAAGATTTAAAGTTAAAAATGGTTAGCAAAATTAAATATGTATAGTAATCTCTATATAGTGGACAAAAGGAGTAGAGAGAAATAGGATTCTGCTCTCGATAAAGAGATTTTGAGAAAAATCTCGTTCAGTCATCCCTTCAACATAAGGAGAGTTTTAGAGATAAAGAGAATCTCCCTTTAACATAAGGAGAGTCTCTTCTCAGTCTCTCCCTTCAATATTAAAAGAGAGAGGCTCTCACTACAACACAAGGAGAGTTTCTTGTTTCCTATTTTAAAAATTCGTTTATTAAAAAAGATCACACTAGAAAAGATAAATATAGAGAATTTTTCACGATATAAGGATTAGGTCCCTATCAGGGTTGCCGCGGGTACAAAAAATCTTCGGGTACGGGTTTCGGGTATCGGGTTGGAGCATTTTCCTTTCGGGTATTGGGTTTCGGGTTGGCAAAAATATCGGGTACGGGTTTCGGGTTATAAAATTTTCATTTCGGGTCACGGGTTTCGGGTTGGCAAAAATTTCGGGTACGGGTTTCGGGTTTGGCGAAAAATTCGGGTTATTTTCGGGTGTTCGGGTATTGTTGAACTAAATTGTAAGGCGACAAGCTGTGTTGCTTACTAGGATATAGGGTGATATAGAGAGAGGCAAATTTGAAGAGATTAAAGAGACATTGGTGGATTTGGGGATTAAGAGGGATATCTTCGTAAAATCCCAATTTATTGGTAAAATCCCACTATATACTAAATCCCTCCGCTTTATCTTCATTAAAGCATCTAATTTTCTCCCATTTTCAGCGCCGCAGGCGAAAATTTTGAGAAGTTTGGAAGACCAAGCAGCCAAATTTCTTCCATTTTTGCACCGCAGGCGAAAATTGTGAAAATTTTAATGATCCTTAAGCCAGATTTCTAGCTTTTTCACCGCCGGAGGCGAAAATTTTGAGAATTTTAGAAGGCCTTAGGAGAAAAATTCAATTATCAGAACCGCAGGCAAAAAATTTTTATTGAAGTTTAGTTGATCATGAAGCCGGAACTCTTAATTTTATGCGCCGCAGGCGAAAATTTTGCAAAATTCATGACTAAATTACAATTTTTAATGGTATTCAAGATTAAAATATTAAAAAAATTTAAAAATCTAAATTAAAAATCAAGTTTAAAAACATTTATTCTTGAAAAAAACTTATTTAAGTCTCATTTCCAACCCTGAAATCGAACCCACTCCTTTGAAAAAATTGAGCCAATCGCCTTACCCACTCAACCACCGCCCAACATAATAAAAATATAAGAAATTATAAATAAATATCTCTTTCTATAATTTTTTAAATTTATTTTAAAAAATAGGGTAAGGCTAAGTTTTCGGGTAGAAATTTCGGGTTTTAACCAATTTCGGGTCACGGGTTTCGGGTTGGAAAAAATATCGGGTACGGGTTTCGGGTTGGAAAATTTTCAATTCGGGTATCGGGTTTCGGGTACAAAAAAAGGCCGGGTTTCGGGTTTCGGGTATCGGGTTTCGGGTTTCGGGCGGCAACCCTGGTCCCTATTACATAAAAGGGAGCTTATATTTTGAACAAGTTTTTTAACGAACTTGATCGCTACTTAAATTCCAAACACCATCGATTCTGTCACATTGTGTTTCTAATGATAATAAAATTAATTTCTCCTCAGAATTGAGTAAAGTTGTTCTCATTTTCATTTCGCGATACTTTAAATATATTTTAATACTATATTTATTTAAATTATTTTAAAACCATTCTTGATGCTTCATAAGCTCTATTTATACCAATAACTGTAGAGAAAAATTTGGTCTAGAAAAAATAATTTTATGAGAAAATCTATTCTGATCTCATTATAAGATAATCACTTGGGAAGTGGCTCCTCATTTAAAGAGTAATATGTCCCCGAAGGACTTGGGAATTTGATTCCCTCCTCCCCCTAGTGGGTCTGCCTTTTGAAAGTAATCCTCAAGGCCCTCCCCTCATCCCTCCATCTCTTTACTTCCTACTTAATCCCACTCCCGAATGAGAACTACTATGTACCTCAGTATCCAACCACCCTATAAATGTATCTTAAATTGGAAGAAAAAATATAAATATTTACACTAGACGGATTAACGCATGTAAAGACAAATTCAAATTTTGTTCCAGAAAGTCCTTTAGACATTATATAAAGCGATTCTGCTTGCCCACGAATTTTCTTAAATAAAATTTTAAATATTCTTTAAGTGTAAAATACAGATTTAGCAACACGAGTAGTAATTCCAGTTATTGTATTATGTCCAATACTTAAATTTATACGAGGAACTGCTACAGCATGCTTAAAAGTATTTTTTTTCAATTTGAAAAGGGAGGATTTTATATTTTTATGGGGTAGTTTTGGATTTTCTGTTTGTTTAAAGCATCCATTTACTCGGGAGTTGAAGGAGAAAATTTTAACCCAAGGGGTCAACTATGCTGATGAATAAATATTTATGGGAAATCAAAAATAACGAAAGATGCGGACGTTCGCAAAAATAATGCTAACGTCCGCAAAAATGATGCGGACATCCGCAAAAGTATGCGGACGTCCGTAAAAATGACCGGACGTCTGCAAAAGCCCATTTTCTTCATAGTTGAAAAAATTTTCTGTCTAAAAATATTTACCCAAATCAAGCGTAAATTAGTGATTCTTAACAATCCTCTATCTCCATTATTCCCTTTAGTATCCTCCACATTATCTATCCTCTCGACAATAGACTCTCCTGCTGCTAATCGTAGCATTCTACATATAATTTTAATTTAATTAAAAAAATTTTTTTTTCACTAAATTATTATGCTAACCGAGTGTCCAAATCAAACAAAACATCTCTATATTGCCACATATTGTCAGAAAGGGCCATATCTTTTTTTGGCATTTTTGGGGGTTAATTTTTTTTATTTTTATCAAGTTTTTATTTTTATTTGTTAATGAAAGGGTTCTTAGATATTGTTGGCATGACAACCGTGAAATAGGTTGTAGAGACGTTGAGGGAATGCCTAATTGTCTGAGAGACCTGAGGGTAGAAAATTTTAAAGTTTACCAACTCAAATTGAAAAATGCTGTAAAATAAATACCCAAAATATTTATCCAAAAACAAAAATGTTTAAATAATCAAGTGGATAAAATAAAAAAATAACTAAACTAAAATTTAAAATAATAAAGTGGTAGGTATCAGGGGTGACGTTAGTCTCGTATCTCGTGTCTCGTATTTCGTAGGACTAGCGCCGACCCCTGGTATGTATAATCTATCTAATATGCTTCTTCGACTTCCGTTTCTTGTAGTTAAAAAATAAAACCCTGAAAAAGCCTTAAAACTTTAAAGGACAGAAAAGTTTGTTAACAACCAAAACAAAATATCGGGTTAAAATAAGTCAGTATTAAAATTGAATTTAATTCGTAAAGAATTTCAATCTCAATAACCGAGATTTGTGATAGATCGCTTCGGTCTGATCGTTAATAAATATATTCATTTTTATTTATCTGTGCTGTAATTGATAATAAATTAAAAAAACTTAAGCGATCCCCGCAAGCTTAAGCGAACCTTATTAAAATAGGATTTACTCAGCTTTAAGGATTTATCAGATATTGAGACTGTATAAATGCTTTTTTGGTAAAAACTTTTTAACTTGTCCACATTTTAAATATGTACCCAACTTTATAAGGGGTTGGCACGTTTTTTAACGCCAAAAAATGGAACTAAGATTTATATTACCTAGTTGGCTTTCTTATAATTTTAAAATTTACTGGCTTATTTTAACCCTCAATATTAGGTATGTAGAAAATAAGGGAAAACAAAAAATTATCTGAACGATTCGTTTCATTTACTTCCTTCTCCATTGCGTCCTCGATTTGCACGACGTCTTTCACCCCTATGTCGTCTACGTTGATATACTTGCATTTCTTGATGTACTTGTATATCATGCCCATGTTCTTGTTCAATTCCTTCTTGGCGTCCTTGTTGATATACTTGTTGGCGTCCTTGTCGATGTCGTTGATGTCCGGCATGTTCGTGTCCTCCTTGTTGTCCATATAGTTGTTGAGCTACTCGTTGACGTGTTTCTATTTGCGAAATTCGAGTTTTGCATTTACTATGAATCTACAACGATAAATAAATACTATTCTACTTTACAAAAATTTTTTAACGATGCATTGAAATTCTGAAAGATTAACGATAACTCTACCTCCAAATAAGCCAAAGGAATTGAGTAAATTAGTAACTCGTCAATATTTAGGCCAGCTCAGTTTTGTCAACCGAGCTATCCTAATACAACGGTTCGGTTTTCACTCTTTAAAAAAATTCACTTTGAAAATTAATAGAAGCTAGAAGGGCACGAAGAAAAATAATAAATCAGTATTTTCCGGGCATGGCACTCGGAAACTGGGTATCTCATAAAACCCTGGTTCTACGGGTTTTAGAGTTTTAACGTTACTTATTGAAAGAAAGTTTTATAATTTAATGAAATATATCACTTCGTTACGAAGTCTTCCATGAAAATGAGGAGGAACTTGATCAAGAATTTGATCATCTTTCAGAATTGGAATTAAAACAGCATTATCTTCATTGAGATATTCTTGATTTGCACTTTTTATAATTTTTGCAGCTAATTCATTCAGAATTGAGTGATCAAACATATTTTTATATAAATCATCCAACTGATGGAAAAACACATAAAATGGAAGAGGTTCATTAGTGCTTGGATCGTGCATACTTGAGAGTATATCGTCACATTCTTCTTCGGTCAGATTAAAAATACTATTAACTTAAATGATAAAAAAAGCTTTTTATTAAAATATATTTAATAAACCCAGTTTCAAAATTATAAGACTACCCAAGTAGGACTTCCAAGTAGGACCCATTTTATAAGACTTCCAAGTAGGACCCATTTTTCCTATTAGTAAATATTCTTGAATATTAGGATCTTGAAAGTTTTAAAGAGTTTCATTGAACTCGAAAATTTTTATGAGCATTTTTTTGAAAAATGGGGTGTTTAAAAATTATAAGAATAGTATTCTAATCCGTTTTTCTATGATATAAGTGATCCAGAAATTCCACGAAATTTCTATAAACAGTTCCATCAATACCGAGTATAGAAGTAAAAAGAACGAAATCTGCTTCATTGAGATCTCACAACCCCAAAATCAACGGAAAACCGGCTTACTGTACTTCAAAAAATAGCTGATCATTTGGAGAATTAATATCAATATTATAATATGCCCAAAGGGGGTCGGCCCAAGTAGGCGCACGGCCAAGTAGGCGCAAAGTCATAACCTGCTTCAAAATTTCCGAATCTTACCAAATTTGGTATTAAACGATTCCTCTCATCGGGTTAAAGAGAATGGTACCAAAATTGTTAAGGTCCATAAATTTTTCAGGTAGTTATGGCTTTGCGCCTACTTGGCCGCGCGCCTACTTAGGCGTGTCCCGCCCAAAGGGTGTGCGGACATACATTTGTTCTAAAACATGAAAAGTCTACATATTCCTCAACAGGACAATATACTATCCAAGACCCAGTGGCCGTAGGTCCTGAAATCGTACATTGAAATATCCCGATATGTCCGTCCCGATATGTCCGCGTGCCGCCCAAAGCGCGTATAATAAAAGTAAGATCTGGTTTTATACAAAAATAATGTTTTGACCTTTAGCCTTCTTTAGACCTTTTTCATTTTTGTAAATTAATGGCCAATAGACTTCCATTTCAGGATGAACTTCGATATACTCATTTCGAACTATTTCACTTTTCAATACTATGGTAGATTCAAATTTTAAATCTTGCAGCTTTAATAGTTTATTTTGACCAATTGCTTGGTTAATTTGGTTAAATATTTTTTGGAATTCATTTGCCTTTACTTCAAAAATATCATAATTTTCCAAATAAGTTCGAATCGAAATTTCCTCGCTAAATTTTATTAAAATAAATATTTGGGTAATTAAAAAGTTAAAAAACTTAATCAAAATCAGAACTTTCAGATGGCTTATTCACTAAAATGGCTATCTGAAAGACAGACACTTCAGCTAGTCTTGATTCCGTTGGGGAATTATTTTTTCAATCCTTCCTTGTCATGGGGAATTAATCGAAGGGGGACAATTATTCGAGTTTTGGCATTTGAACGCTCAGTAGTGTACTTGAGTGTGGGAATTATTGTTTCAACCCAACTCTAGCATGGGGAATTATTCGAGGGAGGGGAATTAATCGAGGGGGGGGGGAATACGGTAACTTTAATTTTTAGATTTAACTAATAAAAGATATACTAGAGATCTGTTTCTTTTGCTCGTTTATCCAATTCCACATTATAATCATTGCGTATTGTATTAGAAAAGCTAATAAATTCTTTAATAAGAGTTCGAACAAAAATAAATAGATGCCAACAAATATAAATATTTTTATCTACCATAATGCCTGATAAATTTTTGCTTAAACTTTTTAACACTTTTCTGAAATAAATTAATATATTTTATTTATATTTCCAAAATATTTTTTGCCTAAAACATGATAAAGCAGGTACTTTTCAATGTAAGGAAAAAATTTTTTTTAATATACATACTAGTAAAGCAACTGGGCTATAGCTATTTCTCTCCTTTAGATAGTACAAAAGGTTAATCGGCGGCTGGGAGCGAACCAGCATCTTCAGTAAACCGGACTGATGTGTTAGCCATTACACCATGCCGCCTACTGCGCAGCCTTAGGATTATAATACTTCCTTCACCGGCCGGTGGAATAATACTGCACAATAATTGAAGAGAAGATTAGTCGAACCTCTTTTCCCTATGCTGTCAAAGCTTTAATTGCTTGCACATTTCCTCCTAGAACCACCTTAAGGCTGAGTGAATATGCGATCAGATAAGTGAGCCTATTTGCTCTATGAGAGTGGCCGTTTGTGATCTTCTTTGGATCGCTCTGGGAACTTCCGTTACTTAGCGCAAAGTTTAGAGCACCATTATTGTTCACGTGATTTCAGGATTAATTCGGCCTTACAATATCAAAAATTCAAAAATTACTTATCCATGTGTACCAATTTATCATATACTGAATCAAAATTATATGCAACTGCTTGCAAACGAGCTTTATCAATTTTTAACCCATTAAAGGACTCATCTTCCTCCATTGGCAAAATTCCCCAATTATTTAAAAATTCTGCATATTCTTCTAAAGACATTACATTACTGCGTTCTAATAATTTTTTAAAAATGAATTTTTTTGGGTCCCGTGGCTTTTCAACTTCTCTTTCATAAATATTCGAATGGTTTTTGATAGCCTTTTTAAAAATAAAAATATTAAATTTAGGGTTTAAAAGCTCAATAAAGTATGCTTTATTAGCTTCTTAACTAATTAAATACATAATTAGGCTTGAGATTTTTATAATAAAATGTAGCCATATGGGTATTGTTAATGCACTCCAGCCTTCACACCAGGGCTGGGTGAAACTTTTCGCGCTGAAAAATGTGAAATATGCGAAAGATGCGAAATGCGAATGCCCTGCTCCACACCAGAGGTGGTTCGGAATTCCGATATCCGACTTCCGAAAAAATATTTCCGATTTCCGAGTTCCGACTTTTGAGCCAGTTCTGATTTCCGGCTCTTCCGACTTCCGATACCTCTGACTGTTCCGACCCAGCCCTGCTTCACACCCGCGCGAAAATTAAAAATATTTATAGTACATATTGAATTTGTTATTAGGCTGCGTAAGAAAATTCAGACAAAAATGGTTTAATATTTTTAATAAATTAAGAAATTTACCACTTCAAGATTGCTAAAGAATTTATCACCGAAATCTGTATTAAATTTTTCGAAAATCCCCTCCAAAACACTTTCAGTTTTATTTCGCAGAAACTCGTTTAAATTTTTTACACCTTTCAAATCCTCAATTGAAACTGATTTCA